CGATGTGCTTTGCACCACATTAACCGAGCAGCGCGGTTGGATTTTGTGATCAAAGGCTTATGGGCAGCAGCACGACCATGAAAACCAAGCAAATGTGCTTCCTTACGGATGGTATCATTGAAACAATACTCCCGGGATGCCTGTTGAAACTCCTCGCGGATGAGGACCATCGTTAAGTGCGGTTCTTCCGAATTTCTTGGACAGCACTCGTCGGTCTCTATCTCCCAGTTTCTTTGGATGCCGACTCGGGGTACATTCCGACAATCACCTCTCACCTCCACCTCTTAATCATAGGCCACGTCGGTTTTGGGACTTCAGATCGCTAGATATGTCCCTTAGGATCGGCCACATTTGTGATACCCGATTATTATACTTTCTAGAAATCGAGCTCCAACTGCGAGGCATCTTGCATGCGACTAAAGCAATGCTGTTTCCTACACGATAATATACCGGCGGAGTCCGTGACGACCTTAGGACCGCAGATATTTTCATTTGCATAGGTGTCCAAACACTTATTGGTAAGCTTCAAAGCTTCTTGATTTTGATTATTTCAACATTGTTATTTTCAGGTGATAAAAAGAGATTTTAGTGACGTGCGATTCGAAGATGTGACCAACTAAAGTAATATTTATATAGAAAAGAATATAAAAAATTTTGCGTTAATAAAGGCCTATTAATCATTTGAAAAAAAATATCTATATAAGATGAATGAATATCCCCTCTCACCTGCCACTACGCTCATAAATGTGTAGTTTTGCTGAACATCTGTAAAAAGATAAATGTAGTACATTTAATGAAAGAAAATTTTTTTTTAATAGCACCTTATCACTAATCTCATAACTTATTTCATCGCATATTATATTATCACATCACTTATTACACTTATCACTAGCACTTATTTCATTTATTACTAGCCTTATACATTTATCATTATCACTAATTACATTTATTACGCTAATCACTAAGACCCTTATCATTTATCACTTACTTAAATTGCACTTTAATCATATGTAACGGAATAGCGTAATTGCATAGTGTATCAGTTTACAGAGTATGTAATAATTTAAAAATACGATAAAATACTTAGTTCCAAATATCTGCAACTAGGTATTATAAAATTTGCTTTGATGAAATAAAATATTATCCTAAACTGCCATCCTCCTAACTGCGGATGAGGACCATCGGTTAAGTGCGGTTCTTCCGAATTTCTCTGGACAGCACTCGTCGGTCTCTATCTCCCAGTTTCTTGGTCTGCCGACTCGGGGCAAATTCCGACAATCACCTCTCACCTTCCATTCTTAATCAATAGGCACTGTCGATTTGGGTATTGATTGCTAGAATTCCCTTAAGATCAGCCACATTGTGATACCCGATAATTATACCTTTCTCAGAGAGCTCCGAACTGCGATGCATCTTGCATGCGACTAAAGCCGATGCTGTTTCCTATACGATATATACCGCCGGAGTCCGTGACATACCTTAGAACCGCAGATATCGTCATTCGCATAGGTGTCCAAATACTTATTGGTAGTCAGTGTAGATGTAGTACTGACATGTATGTATAATTTCTAAACTTCATAAGGCTGGAAAAACATTACGCAAATAAGCTAAGATTATTCGGTTTGAAATTCTTTGTCAAATTACGGGAGCATTCTTGTAATAAATCAGGTATCGATATTGTTACTTTTGCTGCTGATTTGACTGCTGTTTCTGCGACAAGCATAAGTCGCATGAAAACACGACCTGAAAGTATATAGTGAATTCTTGATATCGAAAAACGATCTCTAAAATGTAGAACACAGGAACTGGAATCAAACGACGTGATGCGCTTACTTTAGCAACAATACGAAGAAACGTTCACCTTTTCTTTTCACGGAATGAGTCATGAAAAGCTGTGAAAATGTTTTTCTAGCCCTACACGTGTTCTCAGGTTAGATTGTCGTGAGATATATCGCGACTATATGGCGCGATCGATAAGGTGTGGAGTTGTTGTTTCGAATTCGCAAGAATATTCTGCGCCGGCTACTTTACAGAGTCATGCAACAGCAAACCATACAAAAAAGAATCTAAATATTTTTAGCCTCTCACTTTATTTCTTGTTTAGTAGGCCAAATGTCTTGTTTCAATTAATTATGAAGCTTTTACAATATTTCGCGGTGCCCCTGTGCAGAAACCTCGGCTCCTTGTGGTGCACATAAGCATTCTGTACCGCGCCACGCGCATAGGGGAAATTTCGTACTTGTAATTGGACATACTTTCAGATGACATCATTTTCTCTTGGCGCAATGACCTTTAGGCGGGGTTCGTACGGTTTTGTTTTCGTCAAATAACGCCATGAGTGACAAGGAAGCGGGAAAATTATCGTTTATTTTCTTTGAAACGAAAAAATGTAGCTGCAGCGTTCTGCTGATGGCTTCCTGTTTCATGGAATAATAAAATTATAAAATCTCTCCAAGCTGCTCTAGTATTAGAAGCAATCTTAAGTGCTTAGATTATACAAGTATAAATAGCTGAATGAGTTCAGTGCAAAAAACAAAGCACGACGATCTCGATCGAACTCTAAAGACATAGTGTGCTACTAAGTGTATTATTATTATTGCAATTTTGTTGCATTATGTTTCTTTCACATTGCAGAAAATAGTTCTTTTATAAATATTATGTTATTTCCATATTAATGTCCATGTCGTTCTAATATATCTGTTGACTTAAATGAAAGAAAAAAGTGCATTCAGTACTGTGGCTGAATTTAATACACGTGTATAAGAAAACTTCTTTCTCTGACAAATGCTATTTTTGATGCAAAGGTACAAAAAAAAAGTATCTCTATTTCTGTGTTCAAAATCTATATTAGTCTAACTTCAAAAATAAATTTTACTTTTTCAAACTGATTATAAATATTGTGAACGTGTGTAATTTTAGCTCCCAACATCGTTTTAGCTATTTCCGAAAACTAACTTGTCTCATGCTTCCCCAGATTGCATCAGCCGAGAATGGATATATATAATGAACATGAAATATTTAATTAATAATCACACCTATAATAAGATTTTAAATTAAGGAAACATTTATTAAAGATCTCTGCACTTACACACTTACGGAGTTAGCGCAAGAAGAAGTAATACTTTTTTCTCTCTAGAGGAAAAAAAATCATTACATATTTTACATAAAATTCGTCACACTCCAGTGTTGTAAGAAGTGTAATCTCATGGCAAAAATAAAATAAAATAAAAAAGAACACGCACATAAATAATCTTTTCCAAACTGTTATCAAAATGTAAACAAATGGTATGTATTTGTACCTTCGAGCCAAAGCAAAGTCAAGGCGCTCCTAAAAGTAGAGGAAATTATGTCATCGGAAGCCAAATCCAATCACGAAGGGGCATTATTCCCTATATGCGTGGCGCGGTACAGGATGCTTATATGCACCCGGGGTGCCACGGCGCACGATTTTGGAAACACTGCCGTAGATGGTACTAGTATAAAGAACAATTTTTGTTGCCCTTGTTTCGCCTCACTCTGCATCTGAAATAAATGCAAACAAAATGCGATAGTTGCTGTCATTTAAGAAACTATATGCAGTTATTACTGCAACTAATTATATACAACGTATCCAAGAATCTGGCATTTCTTTTCCTGACCTGGTATTTATTTCCGAAACAGTTGGTCGTAGTTGCTATACTTCCAGATAAGAAAATGCTTTAAAAAACGCAAATACTCGTGTTTTGGCAATTTTCGATTCACAAAAATAAGTTTGGGACAAATTACAAAATTAAAATTCTATGCGGTTTCCAGGTCTCTGTGCGTCTATTTAAGAAAATTGTATACGTATTATAAAAGCATAATAAAAGAAATTTGAGAACTTGCTGTTTAATTTTAAATTAGTGATTTCTGATATTTTTTACTTGCTTTATTATAAAAAATGATGTAGAATAAATCGACATAGTTTTTTGCCTCATCAGATATCATTTAGTAGTATTCTTTTTTTGATTTATTAAAGTGTATCATTCCTTAATTTATAATTTTGTTATTACCATTCGTGGGATAAAAGAATTTTCGCCCGAATACTGTATAATCTTTGAAACGTTAAACTACATTATTAATATTTTCATGCAGTTTTTTTACTGAAAAATCCTAATCCGAAAGTTAAACAAAAACTTCACTAAATTAAAAATAGTTTTAACATTTAATATACAAAAATTATGTTATGGATTGGCAATATGACAACACCTACCAGCGTTTCTTAGAACAAGAATTCTGTAAGTTTAGTGAAAGCCATTTTTTTAAATAAAACGTATTGTTCAGCACTTTTTACTGTAAGTAATATATATAGGAAACCTCGCCACTTATTATTATATGAATTCTTTTCTTAAGCTGGTATTTTGTTTTCAGTTAAGTACAAATGCAAATACCTTGCTACTTCATTCTTCAATTTGTGTACGACCCCTGAATATGATATCCAACTTTAAAACGAAATATTTCGGTCAGTTTTTCTCGTACATGTGTCACACTGTTTGTATTGCGCATTTTATAATAGCATTTACAAAATTAATTTTGTTTCTAGTTAAAATCGCTAAAGCATGAATAACTGCATCATTTAAAACAAACGATTCTGTAACTGGAAATGTATGTCTACACCAACGGCTTCGAGAATAAAGAGTAGGTAAGTACTTTTGAAGACAAGGTAAAGCTACGTTTTTGTTGTTGTTGCTAATTTCGCTGAGTTCCGCCTCCAATTTTGAAGCAGAGCACCCCGGGTGGCCGTGTCCGAGGGTCTCCAACCCCTCTTCCCTACCAGCAATCAAAGGAGTTTCTGCTCCCCTCCTATTTTGAATTCCTCAATGCCGAACAGACACTATACACTTACAAATATCCATGACTTCTCCGCGATTTGAATCCACACCCTTCGGTATGGCTGTCAGAGTCACTAGGTTGGGCAGCAAAAACTGCTCTGATTATCTAAATTTCACATTAATTGAATTATATACATAAATTTAGAATAACTAACCGGGTTCAGCTGCTGTCCAGTTGAGTGAAAAACCCGTTGCGGCGACAGTCCTGTTGGACCGGAACCAGATATACAGCTGATTATGAGTACTGACAAAACTCCGATTTTGCAAATCATCTTGACAGAAGCGGCCAATAACGTGAGAAGCAGCATTCGGACCATCGTTCAGTTGCAGAAAGTCGAATTCACAGTTAAGTCCGCTTTCTAAACCGAAATGTTCAAAAGTGATGTTCACAACCTGCAAATGTAACACAGACAAAAATTTCAGATAATAATAATCCTAAAAGGTTTAAAAAAAAGATATATTTTTTATTTTAGAGAGAGTATTAAACAATGGGCCATCATTGTTAGTGAGCTCTTGCGTTGCTGGTCTTCCTATCCTTTATCCGTGTTTGCTCCTCCTTACGGCGGACATTATGTGAAGATAGTTCTATGTTATTGAGCCCATCTGGCATAAATTTGATTGAGCCAGATAAACTATTGATCTCAGTGGTATTCTGGCTATAAGTTATCACCCAGTCAGTCAGTGTGCCTGAGTTTACTCGGGACGGTGTAGGCTCGGCAGGGACCGTACTGGTACTGTCTCGTCTGCCCCTGGGCCGTGTGGTTGAAACATTGTACATAAATAAGTTGGCGGGACGGCACTTAATTCCGATTGGTAAAAACCTTAGGACGGAAGTTGTACCATCACAAGAGTTGTCAAGGACTGGAAAAAAAGTCAAAGCGTTCCTACCTTTTTACACTGCGCATGAGAGGAAAAAAGCTGCATAGTTCTCCTTTCAAATAATTTTAACAAAGTGCCTAAACCACATTTCTTGTTATTATCACTTCCAACAAATATTCCAAATTGCAATTGATATGTAGCTGCATGAAAAAATTTAGGTAACATAAACGTTTGCTGTTACTAGGAATTATGGAACTCCGCACAATTCAAAAGATTAAATCTGGATTTTAAACCACTTTATCATAAGTTGAAATAACCAAATAACATTCATTGATAACATATTTAAAATTTCTACTGGTTATTCGTCACAAGGAGAAACAGATGGTCCATCATAATCTTGGTTTTCATTCAGTAATATTTCTTAAGTCCTTCCAGCACCGGTTTATCATACGAATCCTTTTTAAGCTCAAATGTGCACGTTTTTCGTTAAAAAAAGGAAAATGAAGACAGAAAAGAAGAAAGAATGAAAAAAAAATTAAATAAAGAGAGAATAAAAGAAATAAAGACAGAATTAAAAGAAAGAATGAAAAATATTTGTTTTACAAAATTGGCTTAGTCAAAATCTACAGTATTCGATTCATTTCTTAAATTTTAAGTAGGATTTTAAATTTTAAGCAGGGTTTAAAAGTCTAAAACCAACTATTCATACGACAATGAGCAGTATAAGTTTTTATAGTATCTGCTACATATTTTGCCGTAGCTCACTCTTTTGCCCGCTTAGTGGTAAAATATATATTGTGTGAATCAAAAATATCTGGGAAACTGTAAAGACAGGTCGAAAGGTCCGAAGTTAGATTTTCTAACGGAATGTATGTGCCAAAATGGCGGGTTGAGTTGGTGCAGGGCGCTGTTGGTCGTTAGCCAAAAGCATTCTGCTGGTGTCAAATGCGATTTCGAAATTCATCAGGCGAAGTTCTCCTCTAGTAAACACGTTTTGAGGTCGAGATTACTATAACAATTGATTCATCGAATAACAAGTATATTTTAAAATTGAATACTATTCAGAGTTTTATGCTATTGACTGAATAGTTGTCGCCTTTTGGCAGTTATTGGATATCAAAAACCTCAGTTGTAATGATGAGTACTGTTCGAGTTGGAGCCTCAATTGCTGGAGTTGTGATTGCAAATACCCATCCTTTCTTTTAGCCCCAAAGGACGTTAACTCCAAATGGGATAATAGTCTCGAAACGCTATCTTGCGTCGAATCACTTTTCAGATTTTCGTTGAATCATTATTCAGACGGCGTATCACTTTTCAGAGTGTTGAGCCCCCGATATTATCGCCTTGTATTATATGTAAAGAAATTAAGTAATGAAGAATATTCATAAATGTATGCATGTTTCCTGCATTTGAAAAATCATCAGTACCTAGAGCCGTCAAATTTTGAATAACATAGTCCCCCACCCGAACATTTGTTTTATTATCCGTTTAATATTTCGTAAAACTAACGGATTTTTGATTAACAAACTCAAAGATTTCAAAGCCAGCAGTGGCAACACTGTACGGAATAAAATATTTTTGTCTCCAGCGCGCGGGACTGTTTATAGGAAATTCTAAACATATGCTGTTTTTTAAATATTTGTGAATTTGCTGTTGAATCAAACTGTATATAGCGTAAGCTCATAGGAAATGATATAAAATAAATAAATTAAACACGCAAAACGTTAATAATATAAAGATAAAAAACGTTTTGTAAATCTCCTTAGTAAGAAAACATTGATATGATGAACTGAGAAAAGACTGGTGGGGGGGAATAGAAAAATGTATGCCTCCCGCTTAACTCTGCACAGGGAATTCTAAATGTGTACGGCTATTGTGCTTTTAGAATTTTTATAATTTTGCTCTTGAGCTTGCGTAAGTGCGAAGGAAATGACGCTGAATAGTAAGAGCTAAATAGATGAAAAAGCTTAGGAGTGACTGTAACAACTCAGCGAAAGCATAAAAAACTTAACAATGGGCGACCATTAAAATCTGAAACCTACATTTTCTTATTTTTTATATCAAGAGATATTTTTATATATTTATTTTATTCCTTTTCTTAAGAAGAATTTAGTAGACCAGTTTCGCTCCCTGTCTTTTCAATATATTTATAAATGACCTCCCAAATCCCTTGGATTCCAAGATTCTAAAATACGCCGACGACACGGTCGTACTTACGGATTCTGTCAGGCCGCCTCTTGCAATGGAAAACTGCAATTCAAAGTAAATATCGTTACGAAATGGTGCGAGGATTGGAAAATCAATTTAAATTCCAGTAAATGCTGTGTTGTGCTTTACAGACGCTACACAGCAGAATGTAATTGTTAATACGGATATCAAAATTAAAACGATACAGTTCCCATGGCTGTCTCCTATAAGTATTTAGGAGTTATTATAGATAGCAAGCTTACCTTTATATACCATGTTACAGCCGTAGCGAAAAAAGCGAATGCTGCGTTCTGTGCCCTATACAACTTGATTGGCAGGAAGTCTAACTTATCGATAAAAATCAAAAGAACACTGTATCTGTCCTTAATCAGACCGATTATGTTATACGCAGTGCCAGCATGGGCGACAGCCAACAAGACTGAGCGTGCTAAACTAGACATAATACAAAATAAAATACTTAGAGCGATTGTGAACTCACCGTAGTTTGTGAGGAACTCTCAAATTCAGGAGGATCTGAATGTGAAGGCCATGCATGAACAAATTTTGATCACTTCACATAATTTCTTTGAAAGCCTTAGAACCTCTTCCCACGCTTCTATTAGAAGCCTGTGCGACTATGATCCTACTGTTGAATATGTGGTCAAAAGACCCCGCATCATACATCACAACCCGTCTTGGTAGTTGTATTTATGTAAATAGTTTTCAGCTTTTTTCTATGTTTTATAATTACGACTTTTGTTATTTTTGAATGCAACTTTTGCCACCACGACCAGGAATGCCAGTCCCAAGCTCTGAAAGTATTTACGCCTCCGGGTGACAGACGTACCTAAAGTACATCTCTTTTATTTTACGACCGTCATTGGCCTTTGGCAACTCTGAACTTTTGGTAATAACTCTGTGTAGTTGAAATCAAGTGCGAGCGAAAGCAATTGGATTGAGTAGACCAGTTAGTGAGTGGATTAAATTGCTGAACACTGATTAATCAACCGGAATTCAAGTCCTGGTGAACGAGTTTGCTGCATGAGCGTTTTCGTGGTTTTCGCGAAGTGTAGTATCATTAAGTGCTAATTTCGTTTAGCAAAGCGTCCACAGAAACATCATTCCCTTTACGCAGATAGCTATTACATGCTTTTCACCGTTCAAATAATCAAACTGTCAAAAGTGCCGCTAATGTGTTTGCGGACTACTCTTTGGCACGAATATTTTACTTTGTTATAACGTAAAATGCAGTACTTCTCAATAACCCTAAAAGTTTTGCAACTGATGTTCTTGGCTTACCAATTACATAAACTCAACAGCATATTATTCCTTGAATAATACTACTATGCTCATTTTGTGTTCACACTAAACTATTTTATTCTTTAAACAATTAACCCTCTGTTTAACAAAGTAAACTGATTTGACCGTGATTTTTATATATTTTGTTCAAATCTTAAAAATTTTCATGACTTAACTAGAAAAAGAGAAATTCTTGAATAAAAAAACAGAGTCAAACTTACTCTCATTATATACTCACCTTATCATCGTCAACTGTTATCACCCAAGCGCAGCCCATCACATGGATGTAGTGCACTCCATTTTCAGGGAATTTAAGTGTCCCGGTGTTTCCATTCAGAAAACCACCACAACCTATTTGTCAAAGTCAATAATAGCATATGTAGTTTACGAAACAAATACTTGTTTGACATATAATCAGAGATGTTCAATTAGCAAAACAAGAAATATATTAACTGAAAAACTATTTGAAATGTTTTACCTACAGTTTAGAATGCAATGGCAAAATGCTTTGAAAAGAACTAGTCAGCTTTAAAAATCTTTAACATTTAGATGGAAAAATTCTCGTTAACAATGCATATCTGAATGATTTTAAATATCCACATATATTTATCATTAACCAGAACAATATTAGATTTGTTCATCAATAAACAATCATTATTATTCAAGTAATATTTTACGACGATTCATACTTTTGGAAATTAAGAATCTAAAATTTACTGTCTTAACAATTTAAAACTGACTAATAATTTGAACTCTATAATAAATCATGTCCTATTATTATTATCAACTACTTCAGGAAAGTTTTCATTAGCGGGCTGTGGCAACATCAAAACGTATTAAAATAGGCACAAAGTATTATAAAATTTACATCAGGGTTATCCTGAAAACAATGTATGTTATGAATTGTTAATTTTTACTGCTTCTGATAGAATAGTTCACCTACTTTTCTTTCCTTTATCTAATAGTTCTTTCCCTACCGGTAATACGCGCTGAATCATTCACAACACTTACATCCTTAATATGAAGCGACGCTATGTGATTACTGCCTAGTGTTATAAATGTTAAAGTGAAGAATTCATCCAAGGATGGGTAAATGGCAAGAAAAAAAATGGCTCTCTTAAAGGAGGTCCGATGTGATAGGAAGCATAAAACAGAACTCTTGCATCCTCCTGGAACTCTCGAAAGTAAGTTTATTGTTGCGCACTACGTTTTTCGGTTTCTCTACATAAGGACATGCAAGAACATTGAAAGTACAGTGACTTACAAGAGATCACAAACACATAACATGGGTACTCTCTGTTTGCCCGGTGTTCTCTCAAGGGCTTGTCAGAATACTTAAAGCATAAGAGACGACACCCGGCCAATCGGGACGCGTAACATAGAGCTCTCCGACCACCTGGATTTTCCAAAGCGATAGAGAAAGTCAGTGCACGTCATGTTAACCACGGAAATACTGCCAACTTTCAGACTAATGTCAGCCGGATAGCCGAAAGGCTAATACACAGCCGCCTCTGTCAGACTAATACACAGCCGCCTCTGTCAGACTAATACACAGCCGCCTGTGTCAGACTTTCAACACAGCGCTGAAATTCCGGACTGGGTAGATGCGCCTTTCTTGACAACATACACCGAAAGAAACTGGACAGGAATTAACTGATATACTAATTTACCTATTAAATTGTTCTTTTTGAAAAGCAATACCATTTCCTCTCTCTGGGGTACTTGCATTATGAATCTTTGGAACAAATAAGCGGTAGTCTGAGACCCAAGATGAGCCTTGTAAATCCTTCCTTCTTCTTCGGGCTTGGACTGGATCCTGTCGTTGCAGAAGTATGATGGCATGCTAAATATGATTCTGAGCAAAGTTACAATAGCCTCTGTGCGGTGGGCCTGGTTTTTTTTTGGGGGGGATTCCCCCAAGTGTAAAGAGAATTCCCCAACGTTAAAACAGACCAAGGAGTTCCACAGTCTCAAACGAGTTAGCTTGACCGGCAATAATTCCCTTGTAATTATTCGCCCGCCTTGTGTTACCTCATCCCTATGGTGTAGTTAGATTGTGAGTTATATATTTTTCTCATTTCAGGTAACTAGAAGAGCTTACCTAATAACAAACACTACAAGGGGCGAAATTGTCGGTTCGCGTCCACCTTCGGTCGTAGTCACGAGCGTTCAGAATGGCGGAAGGTGTCAGATACATAAAAGGCGGTATCTTATGCCAAACGAAAGGCCATAGTTCTATGTTATGTGAATGAAAATAAATAAACGTTATCGAGTGCGATGCTGTAGATGCCTTATATTCTTCCAGTGAAACTAGTACCTGTGGGAATTTGCCTAAACACTGAAGTCGTCACGTAACGGCCATAGCAATGACTTTTGAGATCACTCAAAAACACGATGTTAATAATAATATTATGGCTCTTTTATTATGAAGACCCTTCTCTAACCTGAGAAATATCGTCAAATATGAATGATGCAATCATCAAAGTATCTAATTTTCATATTAAATTGATATATTTTACATGATGAAACAATCGAGGAGTGACATTTCCTTACTATAACAACAAAATTGTTTTTATGGGAAACATCAACTAGTTATTTCTCAATGTCATTTTATGCTTCTGCGATTTGGTGTAATTTATCATATAGGCTTGCTTTGAAACATTATTATATTACACTCCTTATGATTCGTCTCATTCTTTTTTTTTTTTTTTTACTTTTATTTCCACCTTTCGTTTTTTCAACTGGTGAAGTATATAAAATCAATGTTCAAATGGTGCCAAAGAGTTTACTTAGATTCTGTAGGAAGGGAAAGTTACCAAAAGTTAGTGAACAAAAGCTAGTTAACAGTAACAAGAGGATTTACATTATAGAACTGAGCAGATTTAGAAAATGAAGTCAGATTCATTCAGTTTTAACAAGTAATGAGGAATTTTGCAATTATTAAAGAAAGTTTATAATGCCTAATTTTTTATCCCTTACTCAAAGATCTGTATTTAAAAATATCATTCACTTAAAGAGTATTTCTGAAGATTATGTATCAGAACATTTTCTGTAATTTTCATTTTTCTACATTATTTTCCAATTATTTCAGGAATTGATTCTCAATTTTGTAATGTAACCTTTAAAACTCAATATTCCTCTCATCAGTACGTATCTATTCAATGGATTCCAATAATCTTATGAAGTCTTGCATTCTTTCGTAGCATCAAGTGTATGAAACACTTTAGACTAAAAGTGAATTATTTCTGTCTTGTAAAATGCCACAGAGACTCAGAAAGGGTGTAAAAGACTAACTCAGCTAAAAGTTTAACAGAAGCATTGTTCGTGTTTACAGTACAGCCGGCATGTATGGCTTAGATAAAAAGTAACGAATTTTAAATTATGGCTAAGTTAACTTAAGGTAGCCAAAGGCTACACAGACACAAAACGCACAAGTTGACCCTGGCCAACTTGCGCGTTTTACATAACTACTTTACTTTCTCGTTTATACCTCATTTGAACTAAAGAAATTTTTGTAATTCTTTAGTATCATTTAAATCAGAGAACTATTTTCTGTTAACCAAAGCAGCATCTTAAGTCAAAGTGTCTCTCATGGATCCCTTTGGGGTTACCATGTAAAGAAGAAACTAGTTCTTCATTACAAATGGTTGATGATGGCGGATTCGATGCTGAGAGCTAACTGGTTGAAAACAAACAGATTTTTTTACGAAAGGAAGGATAAAACGTTTTTCTTTTAATAGCAGAGCTGGTAGAAAAATTGTTCGAAACAGTTGTGCTTTTCAAAGAAATGGATGCATGAGATAGCAGCCGTATTGGCTGGTACGAGCATATCGATAAACTTGGAAACAGAAGTAATCATGGCAAAAACCCAAAGCATCCTTTAACTACTTCTTCGTTATTCCTTCTGTGCAACTAAACAAATAAAAAAACGACTATTTGGTGCATTGCAAGCAATAAAGGTAGAACACGAACACAAATGCAGATGGTTATCAAATAACGGGAAAACCCAACAGCGGGCAAAGTTTCAACTTCAATCCAACAGTTCTCCAAAAATCAATTCTAGCAATTTAATGCAAATAATAATGACTAAGAACATGTATTTTCAGAATGCGCAAACTTTTACTGATAATACACACATTTCCTATTTTCCATTCTATACTATTAAAGCTTGTACGCTTTTGTCTGTTTGTTTGCGACATCATCTCCTCCGGAACGATGGGAAGTTGAGTATCGAGAGAGGTTCCCTCAGATTTCAACAATTTTTGAGAAGCCATTTCGACCATTCTCGTCTTTGTACGATTTTAATCAACCAAGGTATTAATTAAAAACTGATTTTCGCTCTCATTTTTCCGAGTGGCAACAGTCTCGCGCAATGGAGATAAAAATCTTTTTAAATATTTCGAAAAGTGTTGCCACTGCTCCCTTTCAAATCGTAGATTTTGTTAATAAAAAATTCGTAACTTTTACAAACTACGAAATAAAAATAGCTGTTTTTGTTTCAGGTTAGGATAATTGACACGATATGTTATTCCTGCGTTAATTCTTTTAATGATATGGAAAATAATTGTTATATTACAATTAATTTAAATCGTGACGACATACGTATTAACCTGAAGTACCAAAAGCTTTTGTATTCTGGTTTCGTAACAGAAAATTATTTACGAATTGGCTGTTGCTTGGAAAGAATGAACTAATTTTTTTCATATTAATATATTTTTCAGATGTACAAAAACTTATAAATTTTGTTTTGGCCACAGCCAGCTAGCATGTTTTACTTCTCATTTATTCTATTATATGTTAGCAGTTTATGATGAAAAAAATGTATTTTCCTTAGGTATTTAATCAAAGCATATATTATAGTTCATGACCGTATTAAAATGCTCACCTGCTGGACAAGCTCCACATATCCTTGATCCGATCGTATTAGTGCATTGAAGAAAAGGATGCACAGAACAGCCTCCATTGTTTATCTCACACTCATTAATATCTGTACAGCTGTGTCCGTCACCAGTGTATCCTTTAAGAAAGAAATGTATAATATTCACTCAAGATATTATTTAAACTGTTAAAATTCTTTAAAGTATTTCATTGGGCTAAAAGACTAAAATAAATGTCTAATTTTACCGAGGAGCTATTCGCAAAGTATATTCTACAGCTTCCACACATAGAGAGAGTATTCACATATTTTTAGAATGATATCGGGGACCTTTAATTAATGTTTAAAATATAAAGAGTATTTTTAATGTTCGGTCCGATAGCCTCTTTTCTGCACTATTATGATTTCCATGACATCAGTATGATTTTCATGACAGAAGGGCCTTTCATTTATCATTTCCATTCGTTTTTCCATTGCTTTTCAGAGTCCATCCATTGTTGCAGTTTGTGCTTATAGAAAACTTTCAAGAGACCGACGGCCCAATATTCCATAGGTGATACAGAGAACTCCTTTTCTATAGGTGAAACATCAGTAGACTTAGCAAGAATACGTTGAAAATCTATATGCAGTACCTGTGTCAGTCTTCACTTTTTCAAGGAATGCAGTGGTACTTTTCGAAGAATGGCTCATTGCTTTGTCTTGATGAAGTTTCACTCTTTGAAAGTCATTGCGATAAAGGAATGAAATTTCTTCTATAAATACCGGACTTAAAACTTTCTTTTGATAGTACATTGAGTTGATTTTAATACTTTTTCCCAACCCTCTAAGCGGCAAGGCCGTATATATACGGCTAGAATATATTTTCTGATGTCTGTATGAACGTATATATACTTGCATATTAAAATATGTCAAACAAATTAAAGCAATATGTCAAAAGGAAACAAATCCAGGTTTGAAATACCAGAAGAGTTTTTACAATAAAATCAAAAAAATAATTTGTTCTCATAGCAGTTTTGGAAAATTTGAGCTTTCTTAGTGAAAACACAGGCCGCTCAGAGGGTTAAATCTCTAGATATAAAAGAATTCTAAGAAATCATAAAAATTTTCTTTGTATTTACGGAACAAAGTCTGTGCATTTTCTCCTTCATTTCCTATAATTAATAAATCTTTTTTTGTTGCAGTAATTTAAGTAAGCCCATGCTTCATTAAGTGTCACAATGTTTCTAAATAGTTTAATATAAACTAAATAGTTAACATTAAACTAGTTAATATTAAACCAGCTAAATAGTTTTCACACTGGTTTCTGCAAAATTATTCTGTGTTGATTCACATGCCCCAGCAAACGCTGGTGAACGTTATGTTTTTTGCCTTTTTTTAAGTTTTGAATCTTTTTTGTCATTTTGCTTATTGTTATTACAGATGTGTTTAAATACTTAGCAATTGTTTTTTCCGTCGGAGGATTTTCTCTTGTCACCACCGAAATAACTTTAGAAACACAAGAAGCAGTACGTATATTTTTTTGAGTATTAAGTCTTCTTACCAAGTAGATGTAATGATTGTCGGTTTTTCCCTTTCCGATTAATATTTTTTTATTTGAAATTTTAATACCATGCATTTCGACAACGTTTTTGAATTATGGAATAAAAATATTTCTCTTTGGAAAGCGCAAACAACATGCCCTTCAATCCACAGGAATTTTGGCAGAAATTTTTATTCCAAAGCACTTTTTTTGATGCTTTATCTAAATCGTTCTAAAAATATGTAAACACTTTTTATATTTGTTGTTTTGAAATAATGGAATTTTTTGTTTCTCAAGGAACGCGAACTGTCATGCAGAATTTAAATTCTATTTTATTATTAATTTTATTTCGTGTTAATTATGATTGCACATATCTGTGCAATATTTTTCGTTTACTCAAACGCTTAAGATAGCAAGCACAACCTAATATTGTGTTTACGCGTGTAAATCAAAGGAAATGAATATCAACGTCTCTAAAGAACTACATAAAATCATGCAGTACATTTTTTTGGCAAAGGTCTGTAAAAGCATCTTAAAATATAAAAATACTTCTGTAATCACTTTCATAAACGAGCGCGCGACTATTCGAGCATAACTGCATAATTTGAAGTTACATATTTTAAATATAGCAAAGCCACGAGATCTATGTGCGTAAGAGGCGGAATGTCTTCGTGAAAGACTTTCTGAGGAAAACTGGCTCGTATTCATGTTACACTTGGAGACACTAGGAAAAACCATTCATTCACTCAGCCGATTTCTAACCCAATCTAAGTTGAACTATCAGTATTCAGAAAGCACCCACCAACGGCCGAGCGGTAAAGTCGCTGAACACTGTAGTTGGTCGAGGTCGAATCGCGAGGGCAGCTGCATGGGTTTTTGTTTTCCCCATATGTATACGAGCCAGTTTCCCTTAGAAAGTCCTCCACGAAGGCATCCCCCTTAGGCAGATAGCCCTTGAAGCTTTGCCATAATCACACACACAGTATTCAGAAATCTTAACTACTCGGCTGGTGGAGATACATAATTTGAATATACTCCAAAAGAACTTGAGAACGGTCCTTCTTCAGGCGAATTCTTTTTCGAAAATTTTCAATGCAATTTTTCATGTTTTCCTGATAGCTTTGATAAAACGATATATCCTTCAGACGATGATAGTCATCATCAATTAAAAATTCATTATCATCTTCAAATTTTAACAGGTTATAAAATAAGGAACTAAAGATTTTTAAGCAAAATCATAAAATGATGAGTTATACTTAGCACAAAGCAGCACAAAGAAAGATAAATATATTGATGTATAACTATGCGGTTATTGTTAGGTAAATGAGTGGCATTGTACAGTGTTATAATCTAATATGAAGTAGATTTTATCTGAACTCGTCATGGTTGTAAACGCCAATTTATAATTATAGTAAAGTTAATCACTGCTAAATCCATTCAAAAATTAAATTAGTGCTGTATCAGGCGGCAATAAAATTCTTCATTTTGTAATTAGGCATTCTTCAAGAATATAACATTACCAATAAACAAAGTAATTTGTTAATGAAAGCTCAGTAGTTTAGCTATTAAAATGCTAAACACTGTCCATAAATATAAGCTTCCAATAAATTGAAACACCTTTTTACTTGTTGACATTACGGACTGGTAAGAGACATTCTTAATTCTTAATTAATAATTCTTAATTAACAATTCTTATTTCTCAATGGCACATACACTGGTGTGCAA